CCAGAGGGTGGAGCACAGTTCATTTGCTGGAGACTCCCCGTGCTGGCCAGACTCAATAGGGCTGCACCCCAAGTCCATCCCAACTGTGCCTCTGTTACTTCATCTGAACAATGGGGTAAGGCTTCTGAGTAGAGGCCATGCTGCTTTCCTGCTGCCCCCCCAAGGCCTATCAGATTCCCAGGTCAGATTCTCAAAGGCCTGGAGATGAGCTTCATGTCTGACTTCCCCAGGGCAAACCTGGCATGCCAGGCTCTGGCCATCTGCTCCACTCTCACCTCCACCTCCTTCGTGCCTGTGAGGCTGAACCACCACCACCACCACCTCCTTGAAGAAGCCCACCTGGATTTGTTATGCTTGAATTCAATTCGGGACCCCCAAAAGACCACTAGAGACCACCAGAGACAAAGAGATGCTTATTGCAACCTAGCTCCGTCCTCCGCGCGCGCGCACACACAGCAACTGGTGACACTGAGAGGCCCGGAGCCCAGGGTTTGCAGCAGTTTTATACACTCTTTGGGGAAGGCAGGGTCTTCACATACATCATAGCATCTCTTAGCAAATCATCACCCACCGCGGGAAAATCAAACAACAATTCTAAAACATGATTAGCACATTCAATGGCAGGAACAAGTTGGGTAGGGGTGTTTGGTTAGTACAAGAGGGGGATTCGTTGAACTGATTGGGAGTACGAGGGGAGTACTTGCTGAAATACATGGTTTCCCAACATGTTATCAACCACCATAAACTACTGGGAGGGTCAGCTGGCATCCCAGGTATTTTCCCTGTCCCATGCTGATTGGTGGCTGCTAGGGGTTGCTACGGGTCCCCATCTAGCCTGATTGAGTCAGGGACATCCAGCGCAGCAGATCTCTCCTGTTATTTGCAGATAAAGAACTCAGCAGGGTGGATATGTGCCTCTGAGTGCTCTGTGGGTCTTTGTCTGAGGTAGAGGCTGGTTTTTCAGATTCTCCTCAAGGATGCATCCTCCTGCACTTGGCGTCTCCCAAGGCACTTCCTTATGTGTCTGAGAATCCCTCCTTTTCCAGGGCAGAGATTCTACCCGCCTCACTCTTGGGCCTCACCCAAGGTCTTGCGCACAGTGTGCAGACACAGATTAACGTCACTGGCTGCCTTATGAGAACTGTCTGGGGAGCCTGCCCCTGTCTGCAGCCTTCTCCCATCACCACAACCTTAAATGGCATCCATCATTCAGGAAGTCGATACTAGCATGTGTCATTAATGTCACACTTCTCTCCACATTTAGCTCTCTCTGAAGTAGGGCTGCGTGTTCCCATGAGTGGGCGACAGGTATTCTTTCTTAATGGGTGTAAAACAACGCCGCCTTTCCGTTGGTGCCATCTAATCCCCATTTAACAGCTGAGAAATTGTAGGGACATGAAGGTAAGCCACTTGCCCAGGCCTGTAGCTCGTTCCTGACAGGGCAAGGCTCTAGACTCGGGCACGTCATGGGCCGGGAATGAATCCTTGTTCTGCGGGGTAGGCATGCTCTCCAAGGGCCCGGCCACTCCAGCCTGCTGGTGTCCACATCCTTGTGTGACCCCCTCCACCGAAGCCTTGATGACTTGCTCCTGAGGAACAGAAGTGATGGACATCCCCTCTGAGACTAAGCCCGGGGAGACTCTGGCTCCAGTCTTGCTCCCCATCTCTGGTTGTCCCTTGCTTGCTTTGATTGAAGCCAGCTGTCACATTGTGAGCTGGTTTTGGAGACCCAGGGGTAGGCAGCCAACAGCCAACAATGACCTGTGAAGATAGAATTCTGTGTCATGGCAGGAGTGAGTCCAGAAGGTCATCCATCCTGAGGGACCCTTGAGAGTAGTCCCACTGAGCCACGGCCAGTTCCTGACTCACAGAAACTGTGACATAATGTGTCCTGCCTGAAGCCACTCAGTGTGTTGTAAGCCTCTAAATGTCATTTAAGCTATCAGGTTTAAATTAAATCCATGGAGGGATTAGCTTCAGAACCAGCAAAAATACTCAAAACATAGTGCTTAAAACCAAAGGAAGGGGGCTGGGGATGTGGCTCAAGCGGTAGCGAGCTCGCCTGGCATGCGTGCGGCCCAGGTTCGATCCTCAGCACCACATACAAACAAAGATGTTGTGTCCGCCAAATACTAAAAAATAAATATTAAAATTCTTTAAAAAAAAAACCAAAGGAAGGGCTGGGGTTGTGGCGCAGCGTAGAGCGCTTGCCTAGCACGTGTGAGGCCCTGGGTTGGATCCTCAGCACCACATAAAAATAAATAAATAAAACCAAAGGAAGAGGAGAAGGAAGCAATACATTTTGGTCCCTTGGCCTGCACTCTTTGCCCCAGGAGTCGTTTGTCACACAGCCATGGACAACTGATCAATTCCGATATTTAACACCAAGTATTCACTGTGTTGGGTACCAGGGCCACAAAGAGGGAAAAGATTTTACTTTTGAAGGATGCCCAGTCCAGTGGGACAAGGCATGGGTGTGATTGGGCTCTGGTGAGTTGCAGAGGGGACTGCCCACCTGACACAGCCCAGAGGGGTCAGCAAAGCCTTCTGGCAGGTGTCACTCACAGAACCAGGTGTTGAAAGGTGAGCGAGAGCTGGCCAGGTGAAGAAAGCTGGAGGATGGGAAGAGAAGGACAGGAACACCTATTTTCTCCTTGTCCTCAGTGGATGGGGGAGATTATTTTAAGACTACGCATTTAGCAAGAGGGCTTGATGGGAGCCATCCAGCCCTACGCTTGCTTCTCCCAGCCTGTGGGTCAGCAAGCTCTTCCTGGCTCGGGCTTCAGAGAGAGCAGGATGTGCAAGAATAGCACCTCCGAGGCCAGGGCCACAGAGATTCTGTGATGGCTTTGTTGCCTTGGGACCAGGGTCAGGGTGGCCTGTGGGTTAAACACTAGGAGTGTGGGCAGGGCTGGGATAAAGATGCCTGGGATCCTGTCAGAATCAGCATTTGGGACAGACTGGGGCACAGGGTCCATTCTCTTTATAAATTCCTTCTCTTAGCTCCTCGGTCAGAGCTGAGTCTGTCAGACATTAAGACAGGCTTTTCCCAAGGATGGCCCAGAAACTCAGAGGGAGGAAAGAAGGCCAGGCCCGGCCCTGGGGGGGAACTGTAGAGCAGAGCCAAGGGTCACAGCCAGCACTTCCCTGACCCAAGTCGGGCAGCTCTTGCAGCAGCCTAAGCATGGAGGGGCCCGGCTTCTGGTTCTGCCTCTGCTGCTGACCCAGGGGCATGGCAGGGCCGGGGTAGGGACAGACCGTAGAAGCTTGTGCTTTAAAGCCAGGCTGATCCACTGGGAGTCCAGCTCTACCATTTACTGGGCATGCTCTCTGGACAGTGCTTGATCTCTGTGAGCCACAATTTCCTGGTCTGTAAAATGGGATGATAAACTAAGCATGCTGGCATACCCCTGTAGTTCCAGCTACTGGGGAGGAGACCGAGGCAGGAGGATCACTTGGGTGTAGGAGTTTAAGGAAGACCTTGTCTCAAACTAACAACAGCAAAGGATAATAATGCCCACCTCATAGGGCTAGCATGGTGTTTAAATGAAATCCATGGAGCTCTTGAACAGTGTAAATGCTCAAAATGCTCAAAACATAGTGGACAAAACTAAAAGGAGCATGGCCCGACGTGGGAGATCCCTCCAGCCCTCAAATTCTATAATTCTCGGGAACCTGCTGGCCTAACTTGGGACCACTCTCTCTTTCCCCTGTCTCATGAGAAAGAGCTGCTACTGGTAGTCTCGCTTGCAGAGATGTCCACATTCTTGATTTCGTCTCAGTTTTTCAAAGAACCCATTTTACAGAGGGCAGACAGTCCAGAAGGGGACTTGCCCCCAATGATCAATACCGCCAACTCATTTTTATTGAGCACTTGCTGTGCACCAGACCCTGTGGGACACATTTAAGCCACAGAACAATTGTCTGAGTAGCTCTGTTACTGAAGTGGGGGCTCATGGGTCACAGAGCTTTAAGCGCTGAAGCTGCAGTTTACCCACAGGCACTTGGTCCTCGGTCCTGGCAGCCCAGCTCTTAACCTCTACACTGTGCTGGAATATTGGGGCAGAGTTAGGCTTGGAAGAAAACCAGGCCGCCTGATGCCTGGCCTAGAGCTGTTTCGCTTTCTCTTATTCTTTAACTTTTTTTTTTTTTTTTTTTTTCCCTAATGTGGTAAAATACCCATGTTAAAAGATTTACCATCTCAGCCTTTTTATTCTTTATTTTTTTCAGTTCTGGGGATTGAGCTTAGGGTCGCTTTACTACTGAGCCACATCTCCAGCCCTTTTCATTCTTTGTGAGGGTCTCCCTAAATTGCTGAGGCTGGCCTCAAACTTGTGATCCTCCTGCCTCAGCGTCCCGAGTTGCTGAGATTACAGGCTTGCGCCTCCACGCCCGGCTCCATCTCGGGCAGTATTTGAAGTGGATGGCTCAGTAGTATTGCATTCATCCACAATGTTGTGCAACCAACCTCCAGGGCCCTTCTCATCTCCTAAAACTGAAAATGTATAACCACTAAACAATGAACTCTCCATTCCCTCTGCCTCTGGTTGCCGGCAGCTGCCATTCTACTTTGTGTCTCTATGAATATGGCTCTTCTAGGTTGGAGCTGCCCTGACTCATAAAAGCCTGTCTCTGCTTTGCTCTTGAGTCATCTAGAATCAGTGTCCCTGAGATGCAGGGACCTGGACAGCCAGAGCCCCGCTTAGAGGAGGCCAAGCTTTTCCAGGATGGGTGGTCAGGGAGGGTTGCCTGGAGGAGGAGGAGGAGAAACAGACAGGAAGATCCAGGCCTCGGGTTTACACTTCTTGTTCCAGAAGATGAGGAGGTGGTGGGGAGTGTGACTCAGGGGTGCTCGGCCCCTGTGGCCTGCCCTTTGGTTTATGACAGCCACCTCAGCAGCAATAACCTTTGCCCCCAGGTGAGCTCCTGTCAGATGGGTGGAGGCCCCAGGCCATCCTAGAGGGCCAGTGGCTTGCCCAGAGGCTGAAGTGTCCAGAACCATGGGAACAGGGCTGCGCAGCCAGTCCTTGCGAGGACCCCGGCACTCCTACGGGAAGCTCCAGGAGCCCTGGGGAAGACCCCTCAAGGGCCAGCTCCGCCGGGCAGTGAGCCTCAGACAAGGGCGTGAGAAATCCAGGTCCCAAGGCCTTGATGGAGGGACAGACGTGCAGAAAGTCCCTGCTCAGAAGAGCCAGCCTGCGGGGAGCGTGGAGGACACGGAGCAGCTCTCGGAGCAGCTCACGGAGCAGCTGATCCAAACCCCGCCAAGAGGCTGCCGGTGGTGGCTGAGGCGATGCCAACAGGTACGGGCCAGCGCTGAAGGGCTGAAGGACCGGGCGTCATGGAGCGGGCAGCGGGGGCGGCCCAGGCTCCCAGGTGGGCGCACAGCAGGCAGCGGACCGGGAAGACGCACAGCTGCCCCGGAGTGAGGCGGGAGCGAGCTCCCGGGGGATGGCGGTCCAGAGGGTCCTGGAGGCTTCGTTTGGCTTAGTCCCCTGGGCACTGGGCAGTGGCTGAAAGTTTTAGGATGGGGCGGGGTGGGGTCATGGTCAGAGCTGTTTTAAGATGATCAGCGCGACATTGTCGTGGGTGGGTGAGTGGAGCAGGAGATCGGCCGCCTCCTGCCCCTTGAAGAAGGGGAGAACCGGACCCTGGGTCGGGGGGCGCCTCCTCCTGCTGCGGAAGGGTCGCCGGCGGCGGCGCTTCTCTCTCTGGGGTCTACCGCCACCTCGCGGCTGTGGCTGGAACAGCACCAGAAGCCCCCAGCTTGGCCGTGGGCCCTGGCCGCTCATCTCCCCTACCTTGGTGTTCCAGCAGGTGAGGAGGAAGTGGGACAGCTTTGTCACCAGCATCCCCAACGTGACCTGGAGTCGGCCGGCCTCCCCGAAGCTCCCACTGGACAGCAGCTAGAGGTGCTGCAAATAGGGTGGACCTTGCTGCGCCCCACGGGACTTGCCTCTTCATGGCTCTCTGGACGGCCCGGCCTCTGTCACCAGCTCTCGGGAGCCCCCGTGTTGCTGTCCACCTGGGCTCTGTCCCTCCCACCCCAACCCCAGCAGAGACCCGGTGGGGCTAAGGAGAAGGCTCGGCCTGCCCTTGGACCAGGAAGCTGTGAAGGTTGGGGAACCTGCTGGGAGTTGGGGGTGTTGGGCCCCAGCCCCACACAAGACCTGTGCCCCCTTCAAGACAGAGCTCGGTGAAGCCAGACCCATGGCTGAGAGGCTCTTGGACACCACCCAGTCTCAGGGACGAGCTCCACCTGCCCTTCCCGTCAGTGGTGCTGGGCCAGGGCACTGGTGTCCCTCACAGACGGCGAGCCCTGGAGCGCAAGGACCGTGTCTGGACGATCCTCACTGTTGGGCACTCTGTGACAGAGAGGCCTGTGACCACGTGTTGCCACATTCCGGCCTCACGGTATCCTGATGAAGGAAGCAGGGAGGCCTTCCTTCCCATGTGACAGAGGGAAACTGAGGCAGGGGGATTCATTGTTTGGGGGTACCTAGCCCCACACTGCACCCCCACCCGGTGCCCAACTTTGGGGTTGTAATAAAGACGCTGAGCTGAAGTGAAGGTTTGGCCAGCTGACTCGCACAGGTTCAGAGCCTCTCCCAGCCCCGTGAAGCAGGCTGGGCCCAGAGCCCGGGCACGGCTCTCGGAGGCTCAGAGAGGTGAGGAGCTCTGCCAGGACCACACAGAGGGGGACACTCTGACTCCAAGAGCCTGAGTGCTTTGAGACTGCATTCCCTGTGGGGCCCCTGGGGCTCTCCAGGACCGAGCAGGTCTCAAGTCAAAGGTAAGGGAGCAACCAGGCATCCTGGCCCAGGGCCCGTTTAGGGGTTGATGAGGTCCCCCCAGAGAAGTGGGCTCCTCAGAGCCCAGAACCCTGGCAGGGTCATTCAGGAAGAAGAGAGGTTCTAGGAAAATGTCGTCCCAGACAGCCAGTGGGAGCCTGGCTCTGAAGCCAGACTGTGGAGCCACTGAGCACAGCTGTAGTAAACTCCAGGTGCCCCTGCTTGGCCCCTTCCTCAGAAGCACTGGGGGTGCCTCCAGGAAACCCCAAGACTCCAGGAAGCAGCTGAGTCCACAGCTCTGAGCAGCCCTGTCAGTGCCTGGAGGAGGAGCAGGCCAGAAGGGAGCAGGACTTCTCGACCTCTGGTCTCTGCCCTGGAGGCCTGACTCGGCCTCACGTTCCTCAGAGACAAGCCCCGAGGTTCTCCTGCTCAGCATGTCCTGTGACCTCCTGTCCGGTTCAGTTCCACGGTGGTGGGCCTGTTCATGGCGCAGTGCCTAGCTTAGGCCTGGCACTTAGTAAGGCTCAGTAAATGATTGTTGAGTGAATGAAGGAGTGGCTCAAGGTCACTGGTGAGTGGATGGCTGAGCTGGACCTCCTGGCTCTGGGGTCTGGACTCTCCCTCTCAGGCAGAGTACTCCCTTCCTCAGTCTCACCAGCAAGCCATCGACAGGAAGCTCATTTCTGGGGCCCTTGGGATAGCCCCACCCACCCACCTGCACACAGGTGGGTTGTAGCTTAAGATGGCCCCAGTCATCCCTCCCATCTCCACTGCCTTTTGGCCTTGTCTGTCACACGTTTAGAGACTCTCAAAGGCCTATGTGTGAAAGATTTAGTCCCCAGGGTGGCATTCTTGAGAGATGATAAGAACTTTGAGAGGTGGGGCCTCACCGGACATTCTTAGGTCATTGAAGTTGTGCCCCTGAAGTGGACTGTGGGACTCCATTCTCTTTCACTTTCTCTTTGCTTGCTGGCCACAGTTTTGCTGTGTCCTATCATGATGCACTGCCTCACCACACAACCAAAGCAACAGGGCCAATCTAGAACTTCCAAAACTGTGAGGCAAAAAACACTCTCTCTATGAGGTTATTATCTCAGGTGTTTTGTGATAGTAACAGAAAGCTGACAAACATATTTCCCATCAAGAGCACAGTCTATTTTCCCTCTCCTTGAATCTGGATGAGCTGTGTGACCTACCTGAACCAACACACTGTGGTGAAAATATCCAGGGCTTCAAAGTCTAGGCCTTGATAGGTTTTGCAGGTCCTACCTCCTGATCCTGATACTACCTCCTGCTCTTCCTTCCCTGGGAAGCCAGCTGCCTATTGAGAAGGCCAGGCTGTCCTGCTAGAGAGACCATGTGGAGGTCAGGGGCCACAGGGAGCAGGCCTAAGGCAGCCCCACAACCAGCACCAACACCAGTCCTGTGAGACCCCAGCCCAGATCCCAACTGACGGCAGCCTGAGTTGTTCCCACTGACCATAGAACAGAAAGATCGTCAGCTGGGCCCAGCCAACCCTCAGTGTCGAGATGTAAGAAACCCTTCTGGCTTTGCAGTTTGGGGTCATATTAGAGTCCTAGGGCCGCTATGACAAATGACCGCAAGCTGTTATTAAAGCAACAGAACTGTATTCCCTCACAGTTCCGGAGGCCACAGGTCCCAAATGAAGGCATGGTCGGGCTATGCTCTCCCTGAAGGTTCTAGGAAGGCAGAATTCTTCCTGCCCTCCAGCTCCTAGTGGCTTCCCCCAATCCCTGATGTTCCAGGCTCCGCCTCTCAGGGCATTTTCCCAGTGTGTCTATGTCCATGTTTCCCTCTTCTTTTAAGGACACCAGTCCTACTGGATTTAGGGTCCACCCTCATCCTGTCTGACCTCGTCCTAACTTGATTCCCTTTACAGACACCCTGTATCCAAAAAGGTCACACTCAAGATTCTAGGTGGGCCTGAACTTCGAGAGGGACAAGTTCAACTTGGGGGGGGGTAGTTAGAGGTGCACAGCAGCTAACCCAACAGCCTGGCTGCCGCCACAGGGTGTGACCTTTACAACAGCCCTCTGCCAGGGCCGCGGTGGGTGGGGGCAGACAGTGTTGTTCAGTGGTTAGCCACCGCCATGGAGCCAGACTGCCAGGGTTTGAATCCTGACTCTACCAGTTGGTGGTTTGTGATCCTGGGCAAGCCACTTACTATCTCTGCCTCAGTTTCCTCATTTGTAAAATGCGGCTGATAGCAGCAGTTGGCTCCTGAGTTCATTGTGAGCAGCCCATGAACGCACGTTGCCTAGAGCTGTCCTGAACGGAGAGGAAGTGCCCTTCCGATCTTACACACTAAGGCTCACGTGTTTCCAGGACTGGGGAGCTCGCTCCTGATCAAGCACCCTCTTCACATGTGACCTCCGCCCTCCAGGAGCTCCCAGCCTGGCTGGGGGGCAGACAGACGGACAGATGGCCACTGCCCTGCTCCGAGGCAGAATGAAGTGGATGCTCGCTGGGCAGCGCGGGGTGGGAGACTCAGGGAGAGGCCCTGGCTCCTGAACTGGCGTGACAGCCTGGCTCAGCCGCACATCTTCCCCGGGGTCCTGAGAGCTTCTGCAGGGGAGAAGCCACGAGCAGGAGGGTAAATGGGGCCACTCGGCTGCGCTAATGGGGAAGCAACGAGGTGGGCAGAAAACCCTGCGTCCTGCCTCTCCAGAGCCAGGGCTGCGGACTAGGGCTGGAGAGGCCCCTGGAGCCCAGCAGATTCAGTGCATTTACTTCACAGGTGAGGAGACGGAGGCTCCGACAGCAGGGCAGAGGCGGAGCTGCAGCTCCCCCAGGGCTTCCCCTGAGGGAGTCAGGAGTCCAGCTGGGTGTGCAGCCTGTGAGGGAGACCAGGGGGCTCAGGCCTGGGTGTCCAGCCTGAGTCCAGCTGACTCTCTGAGTGACCTGGTGTGAACCTCCGCCCTTCTCTGGTCTTAATTCTCTCTCTGCAAAGCGGGATGGTGCTCTCCTTTGGGCTGAAGGTTAGATAGGATGTGCTAAAGCCTTGCAAGCTCCACGGAGCCTTATCCTGAGAGAGAATACCTCATCTCCGCCCTCATCAACAAGCTGGAGGGAAAACTGCAGACGGAGGCCAAATTGCCTGAGTTCAAATCCTGGTTCTATTGATTACTAGCTGGGTGACGTCAGGCAAACTGCTTAACCTCTCTGTGACTTGATTTCCTCTGTGACTTGACTTCCTCGTTCAATAAAAGTAGCAATCCCTCTTCACAGGGTTTTGTATTCCCCAAGTTAACACGTGTAAAATAGTAGGGCAGTTAGTCAGCCTTTCGTTCTCAGTAGCCAGTTCTAGGGAGTTTTCCCCACGTGATCTTGAGCAGGTCTGCTCTCTGAACCTCAGTGGCCTCCTCTGGAAAATGGGGGTGTTAATAATAGCCGCTGGCTCGAGGAGTCTGGGGGATGAGACAGGCCAAGGCACACGCTGTGCCGAGCTCGGAGCCAGCTCAGGCAAGCGCAGGCTCAATGGGAGCCTGGGGAGGCCCAGCGTGTCCTCAGCTCACCTTGGCTGCGCCTGGCCTTGGCAGGGCTGTGGGCGGCAGAGAGGGGCCATCGGGATCCAGGAAAGTGGGCTCAGCCTCAGACCAGATGGTGGCCCTGGGGCCTCCCAGGAGGTGGCCTCACTCAGTGCCCAAGTGGGAAGGGGAGCAGGAGGAAGTCACCCACCCACTCCTCACCTTGCCTCCTTCCCCCTGCGGCTGCCGCTGGCCCTCCAGGCCCCTCCCAGCCTGGCCGTGTCTCCCTTCTCTGAGTCCCAGGCACAAGCAGTAGATCCAAGCGTCTTTGGGCAAGTGTCACTCAGAGAGCTTCAGAAAGGATGAGGCAGAATCCTCTCCCCAAAGCCCAGCCAGGTGACAGCCCTGAGAACGAATCCCCACCCTGCAGCTGCTCAGGGTGCAGATGTGCCCTGAGGAGGGCACAGTTGGCATTAGGATGTGGGAGACCCGAGGAGGCTGCCTGAGGAGGGGGCAGCAGAGGGAGTGGGGGGCTCACCCCAGTGGAGGAGTTGGGCAGGGTGTGACCAGTGGGGTGCACAGAGCCGGCCAGGGACAGCAGGACCGTGGAAGAACAGGAGTGGCACAACTC